AAAAAGTGCTTCAAAATTTAGTTTTATGATTATATTTCAGACACTTCATTATATTTTGACAAAATGCAATTTTTGTTAACATTTTAGTCAAAACACTATATTTGCCTATTTCTCCATATACAACTTTTGGACTTAATCCTGGTTTCGATGTGACGGGTCACATATATAAAATTAACTACGACCAGAAAACAACAACAGTGAGAGTTCTGAGCGTCTGGTTTTTGTTTCTGTCCAGGTTTGAAACTCCAGTTCCCAGTCTTCCCCACTGAACAACACCTCTTCATCTCAGAGACTAAATGCGACTGAAGAAGGGGGCTTGTGGGCATGAAGTGGCTGGGCGAATCCAAGAACATGGTGGCGAACGGCAGACGCCACGGGAACAAGCTGACTGCCGAGCAGCCCCTGAGCCAGACCCGCTCTCAGCACGCGCAGCGGGCGGCGCAGCGCCAACTCAGAGGCCACCAGAGGAGCCGTCGATGCAGCCGCAGTGAGTCCAGGCTGAGGACCTGTGGGCCGGCGTGTAGCGACCGCGTGCTAACAGCTGTGTGTGTTTGTGTGTGTGTCTCAGGGTGTAACGCTGCTACTCTGGAGGCGGAGCGGCGCTACGTGCCCTCCTCAGGAATGACGGCCAAGGAGCTGTGTGAGAACGATGATCTGACCACCAGCCTCATCCTGGATCCGTACCTGGGCTTCCAGACCCACAAGATGAACACCAGGTGGGTTTCTCTCAGCGGAGGAACAGGATGGTCTTAGCAATGTCTGCTACATCCAACTGTCTGTAGAAAACACTAGAATCAACATGTCTCTGTCACTTTTACAGATACAGAGCTAAAACCTGGTGTGGTAGTAGCTGAGGGTCATTCTTAACACCAGGGTTCCTGCAGATCCTTTAAAAGTCATAAAAGGCCTTAATTAGCCTTAAAATGTCTTAAATCAATCTTCAGAAGTCTTAAAAATGTGAACACGTTGTAAGTAGGATGATTTTAATTCATCTCAAATATTAAAATAATTGGTAACATTTATTTATTTAAATATTCACATGCAGACATTCCCCTTTGACATCACTTCCTGTTATTTCACATGCAAATATCTCAACAACCGTCCATCTGAGTAATGTGAAATTAGTTTTGTAATATGTTANCCTTTGACATCACTTCCTGTTATTTCACATGCAAATATCTCAACAACCGTCCATCTGAGTAATGTGAAATTAGTTTTGTAATATGTTAATAAAGTTGTCTTTTCAAAAATGCATTAACTTTTCTTACAAACTTTGATGTCACAGACACTTTAAGGTTTCATCTGCAGCAAACTGGGGTTAAGACCCCCCTGTGGGTCCTAAAACTCCCCCCTGTGGGTCGTTAAACTGACTGCTAAGAATGTTTCTGCTGCAGTTAGATATGGATAAAAACAGTTGGTCTATTAGCAATATTTGAATAATTCAACCAAAAATACTTTGATTCATGAGTTTCTGCTACGTTTTTTTCATTTGTGTTTATTATAAAATTGGTCTTAAATTTAATTTCAGTTGGCATTAAAAAGTCTTAAATGTAACTTGCTTTAAACTGTAGGAGCCCTCTGAGACCTCAACCTCTGAGCTCTAACAGCTCCAACCCTCATTCCTCCACATCAGATGGTCTAAAGCTCTGACAGCAGAGCTGCTGGCTGATGAGTAGGGCTGGGGATCSATTCAGATTTCCCAAATCGCTTCGATTCACGATTCGGTTTGATTGATCTTTAAATTGGTGAAGGATATCAAGCAGTAACACACTTATTTTGATATAGAAGACATTTTCAAAGGAACTAATTCTGTAAATAGAAACTGATTCTAACTTGGTTTGTTGGTAAAATTATAAACATTAAGAACAAACTTGTAAATTGGAGTTTAATCTTGAAACAAAACTCAAGTTTCAAAGGTTTAAACTAAAAAGGATTTGGCAGAGAAAGTGTTGTTGATACTTTAGTTTTATAGAAACTAATAATAATTTTCTTGATCACTGAGTGATTGAATCAGGTTACAGGAGAAGAGGTGGGATAATAAAATCTGCCCACTCTTTAGAGTGTATGATAATGTTTCTGTTAGCTTCTGTTCAATAAAACTTATTAACGAGAATAAAGAAATAAAAACTTCAGCTAAAACATTTCATCACTGTGAATTATATTAAGGTGTTTCTAAAATTTATAAATAATATTAGTAACAAAACCAAACGATTTTGTTGGACTGTCATCTTTCACACATTTATACATGTAGAGGAGAACATTTTCAAAAGTTTACATGTCGTAGTTTTGGTTCGAGCCGCTCGAAGCTTTGTTTCCTGCTGCCTCGTCTGAGTGAAATCTTTTATCTTTGAGTTCAGCTGAGAATCAGCTGTAATGTTTGTGATTCTTTGTTTCTTTTGTTTTGATCCAGAAAACTTGTTGTCTGGAGCTAACGTTAGCTCTGAACGTCAAAGTGACGTAAAGCTACGGCAAGCCAGGAGTGACACACAGCTTCATCGCACACAACATCCATGAGGAAAATTTGATCTCCTGACTTATGAATCGATTTTCCCAAATTTGAACGAAAATCAATCCAGATCGATTAAATCGATTTTTTTTTTATTATTTATTTATTTACCATTATTTAACCCGTTTATTAAACCCAGCCGTAGTGATGAGCTTTCCTTCAGCTGATGCTAGGCTTTGATTTGTCTTAATGTTTCTTTCCAGATTTCGACCAATCAAAGGAAGACAAGAGGAGCTGAAGGAAATCATCGAGCGCTTCAAAAAGCACGACAACCTGGAGAAAGCCTACAAAGCTCTGACGTCAGGAGACTGGTGCCGAAACCTGTTCCTGCACAAGTCCAAGGCTCAGGAGAAGCTCTTCAAGCAACATGTGAGCACGTCACCTCACTCCTGAGACGGGCACCCGCCCCCGGCAGGTCAGCTGCTAACGTTTCGTTTCACACAGGTGTTTGTTTACCTGCGGATGTTCGCCACAGACAGCGGCTTTGAGATCCTGCCCTGCAACCGATACTCGTCCGAGCAGAACGGAGCTAAGATTGTAGCCACGAAGGAATGGTGAGACCCTCCTGCTGCTTAGAAACCCCTGATCTGCAGCCTGATCCAGTCCCCGTCTCGAGCTGCGTTTCCATTGCAAATGTTCACAAAACTTTGTCGATATTCTGTTAACGTCGAAAAAACACACACAACTGCAGTGTTTCCATTAAGTAAGAAATGTTATTAAAGTCACG